ACATTCTGGTGGTTGTGGACCATTTCACACGGTTTGCTCAAGCATATGCCACCAGGAATAAGGCAGGGAGAACAGCAGCAGAGAAGCTCTTCAATGACTTCATTCCTAGATTTGGGTATCCTCTCAAGATTCACCATGATCAAGGAGCGGAGTTTGAAAACAGGTTGTTTCAACGCCTACATCAGCTGAGTGGAGTGTCGCCCTCGAGAACAACTCCCTATCACCCCCAGGGAAACGGTCAAGTGGAGAGGTTTAATCGGACTTTGCTAGCGATGTTACGTGCTCTCCCAGAATCCCAGAAGACAGATTGGAAGGCGTCTCTTAACAAGGTGGTTCATGCGTACAACTGCACCCGACATGAGAGCACCGGTTACTCTCCCCACTTCCTGTTGTATGGACATCACCCCCGACTGCCAGTGGACCTTATGTTTGGGATTGAAGACAAGGAGCATGAGGGTAGAGGGACTAACTGTAGGGTAGATGCTAATGTTTATTATTATTTATACTCTTAGTTACATTGTTATTCCCTAAGTTTAACATTTCATGATGCCTGTAGCTGGAGGAAATGAGTTACCTTATAGTATCAAGTTCCCAGTTTAACAGTTCTATGTGTTATTTACAACAGTTCAATAGTATAGTCAAATGTCGGGACGACATCTCAGCCAGGGGGGGCGTGTGTTGCCATGTAGAAATAACCCCCTTTAGGATAATGGTTTGATCCGATGCACGCATGCGTACTGCGCAGTTGGTTTTGAGAGAACAAAGAATACACTCAGTCGTCTCTATGCTCTGGCTTCGCTGGTCGTAATTGCGTTGTCATCTGGAATAGGAACTGTGATCTGGAACGAGGATTGGTAGGGTAACACCATCATATCATGATTTAGTTACTAGTACCTGCTTACAAAGTTATTTGTGACATCTTACGTTTTGCAAGATATAAAATTATTACAGGCAATAGATCCAGGCTAGGGCAAAATAGTTAAATGTAATTTTGAAATGAGGTCAGAATAAGTACAATCAGACCTTGACTCCATTGCACTCATTATGCAGGTTCCACCATTTTGACAGGTCATCTGGGCACACCTGTCTTCAACCTCACACACATCACCCAGGAAACCTACAGGAACAGATACATACACTGTCACATACTTTGTGAATTATCATATATTCAATTTATGAAGTCAAAGGTCCAGTTTTGTGGTTACAGCTGTTGACATGCTTGTGTCAGACCTACATGTAGACTAAGCGACATTAATTGTGAAGACAAAATAACCACCGAACACCAACAACAGTGAGCACCGTGTGGCATGCATCGCAGCCTTTATAACATGCGTATGTGATGGAGTGAAACTATTCAAAACAAATAGTGTGATGGAAGTGAGATTCATGCAGCAATATGAGGACAGTAGTTCATCTTGCTGTACATGCAGGACCATATTGTAGGCTTGACAAAACAACTGACAGACGTTCAATAGTCACTTCACCTGACTACCATGATCTGATCAGGGATGAGATGATTTGCACTTATTTGGTCTGTGTACGTGATGACTGAGGAGTCAACCAAGCTGCAGAAAAGTTGATCATCAGTTACTGTACGTCATCAAAGATCAGTGCACAATCATATATGCATGCTTTAAAGTTTAATCACTTTCAATCAAAATGAACCTGTTGAATGTTCATGTTAAATGTTGAAAATTATATGTTGAAAACGAGATACACTTTCTACTTGACTGTACATTATATAAAGATGAACGCCAAGAACTATTCGATATTTTACATTTAGACAAGATATGAAAGAAAATGTCAAAGCAGGACACATTTAAACACTTGATGTCATGCAAGAACGAATGTATAGCAGAAAAACTATGCAATTATGTTTCTTTCTAATGTTTCAAAAAGAGAGAAGAAAGGGCAACTAACAGTAGATGATAGGTAGTATATAGTATTGTTATAATGTATAAATTCCTAGCAATTAGCATTAGAATATAGTGTCCCAGTATGTAATACTCATGTTTTGCATACTACATGTCCTCTTGCATTTAGCCTGTCTGGGCAAGAACATGCAATAAAGATTCATATCATTAAAAGAGAACTCTGATCTAGAGGTTAGTAATGGGTCTTCAGAGAATAGTCTAAGAGTAACTGTCAGTGGTATGATTGAATCCAGTCGGATTTTGTTGAATTCACCTTACCGGTATGTTTAAGCTTCAACAGAGTGCAGAATTCAATGACTGACTTACGATACAATTTATTACTGACTGACTTGGATAGTATTATCTATTACTATGATCAATTTAAAATTTCTTGGACATAACAGTCAACATGCAATTGAAAGTTTTCAAGGTAGAGGATGAGATTTGCAAGCAATAAATACAGACTGAATATTACCCTTCAGAATCTCACAGTAAACAGTTGATTTCCTAGGGCAACAATTTGTATAGTACATGTATTGACTTCTGTGCCATGTTCAACTAGCAATATAGATTAATCTACAAGTATGTGCCAGTATACACAAGCAAACCAATTTAGATCCATACAATTTAATATACTGTACCAAGTTGAACAAATATTTCAGATACATTTGTACCAGTAATGCAAACTGGCCACAGATTGTCATGTGGAAGTGCAAAGCTGCTCAGAATCTGTTTATCATCATTTTAAATTCCCAAATAATATCATAATTATAGAAAATTGAGAAAGGGACTGTAGATACATGCTAGCCTGGGTTCCATCCTGGTTAGTTTACGTCCGCTCCTACAGTCGCTCCTATAACCGACTGTAGGAGCGGACGTAAACTAACCAGGATGGAACCCAGGCTAGATACATACATGCCTAAGTAAGAAACAGACTTACCATCAGCACAAGAACAGTTGAAGCCTGCATTGTTGTCCACACAAGTGCCTCCATTCAGACAAGGCTGGCTGGCACAAGCAGGAACAACTTCTGAGCAGTTCACACCAAAATAGCCTGGTTCACACTCACACTGGTAAGACCCATGTTCACCTATGGAACACTGACCATAGACACAGGGGTCAGGGTCACAGTCAACAATCAGGACATCACACCTGTCCCCGGTAAAGCCATAGAAACAGTCACAAAATGCAGCTCCATTCAGAGGGAAGCAGAAGCCTTGAACACACGGGTCTGGATCACACACAGACGTGTCCAGCTCACACATCTGTCCCTGCCACCCTTCTAAACACCTACAGAACCAGCCCAGACTGTCTTCATAACAACTGCCACCATGCTGACAGGGCAGGCTGTCACATGCTGCAGGTGGTGCCAGGGACACCGCCTGTGTCGGTTCAGATGTGTGCAGTGGTAAAACAGTAACTGTTGTATGATCCTGGATTCCAGGTGTAGTTGAGGTGGACAGTGTTACTGTAGGGATGGGTACATCACAGTGTTGTCCTGTATAACCAGCTGAACAAACACATCTGAAGGACTGCCCATGATAAAGGCACTGTCCAGTTTGTCCACACGGGCTGTCTGTTGTGTTACATGGATGCAGCAGTGTCTGACAGTGCTGTCCTGTGAGATGAGGAGGACAGATGCAGGAGTAGGATGTTGCTGACTCCACACACTGTCCTGTTCCACATGGCTGTATGGCACATGGAGCAGGGACCTCACACCTGGCACCTGTATACCCTGCTGCACACAGGCAGGTGTAGTCACCTGCAAGAGACGTACAGTCACCTGGTTATTCTCCTATAACTAATATGCAACACAATATCATCTTACATACAGTAGGGGTATTATCATTAGATAGCTTTAAACAATGTTTAGAGTTAGATGTTCAAAGGTGTAACAAGTCATTTGGTGTAATGAAGCCAGCTGCCTCCACACTTGCGAAGCTGGATCGGGTTTGTTACATTGAAGGGCAGTTATACCAGCAATACAGAATGATGATGCAGATACATAAAAGGAAGAACATTTTTTCAATAAGATGAGGAGCATTTCTACACTATACCAAGGCTTCTTTCACAAACATGTACACCATAAGGTTATAGTCTTTACAGACTTATTCACATCTGGATGCTCCTAGACCTGAAAAACAGCAAATGTTGGATGCAACATCTGACTTTGTTACTAGTACATACAATCATGTAGAGACCTTTTTCAGATTATTTTGTATTACATGTAACATCCGTGTCCATATCACCAGGGACCATAATATCGCCACCTTGAGAAATAGTGTGTTTTAAGATATTTTTACTGCAACATTCTTTTGGTACGCACTCCTGCACACCTCAAATGTACATACCTACGGTATGTTGCAGTAAAAATATCTTAAAGCACACTATTTCTCGAGGTGGCGATATTATGGACCCTGGTGATATTATGGACACGGATGTTATATGCATTTCTACATGAAGTCTTACATCACAAGTCTTAGAGTGATATCTTACCTACAGCATCAAGACACAAACCATCATTCAAACAGGGAGGGTGAACATCAGGCTGACTACATTCATCCAGCTCCACCTGACACAACTGTCCTGTGTAGCCATTGGTACAGTAACATTCTCTCTCTCCTGCAAACAAAACCAACTCTTATATCACACACAAGACATCCATCAGCATTTTGTCAAAAAAGAATTACAAAATGTGTGTAACATTTCAGGGCTGGAAATACTGTGTGCATGTGCACCTTAGTGAACCCAAAATTGGAGCTATGCCCCCAGTTTTTTTCTTTGGGTGCACTGGTGCACGCAAATATTTTTGTAGGTATTTTTGTGCATATCATACATGTATGATAGTATACGGGATATTCTTGGCATCTAAGTGTCTGACAAAGAATAAAATCTTTGTTGTAATACTTGTGTAAGATTTTGAAGTTAGCTCCCATTTCAGATTGAAGATCAGAAGAGGAGCAGTAAGATCTGTACATAGGTTTTGTTTTAAATGGTGTTCCCAAAAATTTTTTGTGCACCTAATAAAGTTGGGTGCACCAGTGCACCTATTCCCAAAAATTAATTTTGAGCCCTGCATTTACATTATTTTAGTACACTTTGTAAAGTATGAACTCATGACAGACAAAAAAAATAAAGATATGGAAAGACATTGTCATTCAACTAAGCTTAGTCTATCAGCAAAAAATGCAGGAAATAGCATTTCAGAGGGTCAAGATTTCAGAATTTTCCCAGGAGTGGCATGCTCACAGACCTCCTGAGGAATGTTTTTGGCACTTGACATGATGTTACCTCAAACAAAATTGAGATGATGGGCAAAAATTAGGCTGGCTAGAACATGACAGCTGTGAAATATCTGATCTTTTGAATACACATATTACACATGTACTCATGCAAGACCCTTAATTATAATTATAAGAATGCCAATTTGAGAGTTTTTCCCATGTATTCCTAAAGTTGATATTAACACTTACAATTAAGTTACTTTTAATATTACATTTAAAGAATTCTTTTCATTAATACATTAGGAAATGATATGTGGCAGTACACCAACTCAGTTGTCATGTATTGCACACTCAATATATACTCACACAAGAATTAATTGCAGGAGGCATCGCATACATTGTAAACATTGGGTAAATAAATAAAAAATGAAATGAAATGATCAGTTACCAGGTTGCAAATGCTGTCCACATGGTTGGCCATATGCACAGCAGAATCCATTATTTCTGCAGGGGTTTGGATGACACAGCTGAAGCTGTTCCTGACAGTGCTGTCCCTGATAGCCCACATCACAGCTACAGCTGTAGGAGTTTACTCCATCCACACAGCGCCCTACATGTAGACAGCAGTCAGATATTCGCATACACTTTGTTCCAACACAGCAAGAGAAACTCAACAATTTTTAGAACATTAGATGTTGATAATTTTTTGTCAAAAAAAAAACAGGGATGGATAGCCTGGCTAAATCTGGCTTAGGTTGACCAGTATAAAAAGGTTTTTGAACCCTGCTTTCATGAGACAATCTGACATAAAAGCTACATAGGGCAGGGGAGCAAGTCAGAATTCTTGACTGTTTAACAGATAATTTGTACTCTTACCATGCAGTCCACAGGGGTCATTTTGGCAGTCATCTATATCAATTTGACACAGGTCTCCAGTAAAACCAGTCAGACACACACATCTTGTACCTGCTCCTCCTGGCAGAGGGAAACATACTGCACCATTCTGACATGGGTCCTGCAAACAAACAAACAATTTAACATGCATGAACATGAACATAATTGTCTTCGTCAGAAGGGTTTGGCCAATCATGGTGAAGCAGCTACAATGTATGGTGTGGGTCTGTACTAGCATGTAGGTCACCAAAAAATCAAGACCATAGCATGTTCAGGACGAAAGATACAAAAACCAGAAGTTCTGCTGCAGTACCAAGGTCAGCCACCAGAAGGCCCATATTTGACCTTGACCTTTGTCTTCCTAAGACTTACCAGCATACCAAATATCATCAGAATCCATAAAGGCGTTATGAAGTTATGCTGACTACAAATGTGTGGAAACACAAACACACAGACAGACACACAGACGCGCCAAAAACAATACCTCCAGTTTCATGGAGGTAATTATGAAACAGAACTGGCGCACCTGAAGTGGATACAGGCACAGCTGTGGTCTCTCACACTGAAGCCCTGCGAATGCTGGAGGACAGAGGCAGGTAAAATGTCCCAAACTCTCGACACAGGTTCCACCGTTTGTACACGGTTCAGATGAACACACATCAACCTGGTCTGTACATGTCCTTCCTGTGTGATAATAAACAACAAAAATTAATGGACAGAAGGGCTGGGATAGCATGTATAGTTCAGTTCAGTTCATCCTAAACAACGAATCCTCAAGACTTCTTTGCCCCTCCCCATGTATATCTGAGGCCTATGCGACACCAATAACACTGAAATACAACTGTTACAGTTTCTGAAAGGGAGGTAACTATACATAGTTTAAGGCGATTGCAACCAAATCTAGTTGGCTGAAACCATGTGAACCAAAAGCGTCTTGGCTAATCAAACTTTTTTGGTGGTCTGATGTGACAAGTATTGATCTAAAATCTAATCTTCAGTGAACATAAGACAAGGACTTCTATCAATGCATTGTATACCAAGTTTGGATAGAAAACATGCAGCTATAAGTTACCATCTTTACACTTCAATGGGATGGAAAGTAGAGTCACAGTTGCAAAATATCAGCTCTTATACACAATGGGATCCGGAGCATGTATATCTGCCACTGTACTGCAAGCATGTTCAAAGAGTCATCCCCAGACTATTTCTGCTAAGATTCTGCACTTTATTTGTTGAAATGAGTAGCACAATGAGTTGGGGTGGTTCCGCGTAAACATTCATGATGGCAGACCCTAGTCACACTCTTTAATCCATTTCCAGTGCAGATGCAATTCGAATCAGCAAAGAACAGTGGGAATGCATAATTGTATAACTGGGCAGATCAATTCTGAAAC